TCTGGGTCTGGATAATGCCAGCAAAAAAATTAACAACCTTGTTTGATGTGGAGGAACTTCAGTGGCCTTCATATCGCCAAGGCCTCAATGTCTTTGAAAATCTTTGCGATTAATTGGAACACTAGTCAGGAGCCAGACCTTCTCGCCCAGCATTAGTGCCTGACAAATGCTCTTTTGGCCAAATTGGCACACATTAAAAAATCTTGTGGAAAAGTGTGGAAGTTTGTATAGTCACGAGGGGGGAGACGACAACTCCATATTTATTCCCATGGTTTTGGAATGGGATGTCCGACAAACTAATACATTTGTGATAGTCAATTATGCACATCCTTTTAGCAATTTGTTTATTTAAAGTATGAAAATTTTAAAATAGTTTGTCCAAGTTCCTGCATGAGTCTATGATTAACTTTTGATTCAGACAATTTTCAAAAAAAGGCTTCAAAACAAATGTGAATTGTGAAAGTGCTCTTATTTTTAACCATGAAGAAATATTAGTTATAAGTTAAAAGCTATAAGATAATACTAGACATTAGCAATAACTGATTGAAATGTTACCATTACCTTTTAATGGTTTTGGCAGAAAGTGAGCTGCTGGTTTATTTTTCTTTACGTGATTTCCCTTCATAATTTCACCTTCTTTGTTGAGACCCAGAAACCAACTCCTCCCAGATTGTTGTTGTCTGTAGATCATTGAAGAATATGTCACATAGTAGTTTTCAAATACCGACTCTTTGAATTTGCATTCAGGTGTGAAATGTTCCTGTTGAGAGATTATATGTTTAAATAACCCAGCAGTGCAATGAAGTAGTATTCGGTAATGCCTATATTATTATATATTCACAATTGCTTTAAAAGAAAGGTAAATTATTATTATTGGTTTCTGACGCTGATAACAATGACACTGTTACTAAAAGCTTTCATACCGCATTCAAATGTAATCAAATAAATACACTTGCCAGGCTAGAACTAAGAAATTTGATTTAGAGTGAGTACTAAAAAAAAAACAAAAAAAACAAAAAACAATCACAGACACTGGTAGATGTAGATTTTGGGATATAGAAACAAAAACACAAACTGGGACAGTAGAATAGAACCAACAAGTCAAGCTTTTTTTTCCCAGCATATTTTTACAATTACATAAATTCAGAAAAAAACGCCACAGCTAAGCTACTATAGGAATGTTGCCATATTGTATCATGAATTACACAATATGAAAGGAGTTGGCCTTATTTACCCCTGTACAATTTGAACAAATGACCATAAAATTATAAAATATCCACTACTATTAGTACATAGTCTGAAACACTGTGCAACCCCAGTTTCGCAACAAATTTTAGATTTCCATGTAACCCAAAGCTCACCACTTTCTGACACATGCACTAACTGTCAGACTGAACTTGGGAGGGGGATACACACTGACACAAATATTCACCCATGCACACTCAATGCCATACATACACACATCTAATGACACATACATACATACCGTATTTGTCCATGTATAAGACTATGTTTTTTTATAAAAAAATGTTGTCTAAAATTTGGGGTTGTCTTATACACAGAATGTCACTGCAAGGGTTAAATAAACCACTTGTTTGCGGGGCCTAAGTTAAGATGGCACCTGCCGCATTTCATTGTGCCACGACCCACACACATACCTGGCCTCCCTCCCATTGATACACTTCTGAATGCTATGGCAAGTAGGAAGAGGTCCCTGTATGCATGGGAGCTGCAGCAGACATCAGCACCTACCACAACAGAGCTCCAGAGACATGCTACACCATAAAAGGAGCAGCCATATTAAGGTTTGCTCCACCTCAAGTAGATTTTGCTTTCTGATTTTTTTTTATTTATGGGGGGGGGGAATGGGAATCAGAGAGCAGAGAAAATACTACTGTGATATTCCAGCATGCCCTCACACCACCTGCTATATTGTGGGAGTTGTAGTTTCCCAGCATGCACTATAGAGCCATTAACTTCACAGAGTACCATATCACAGGGGAGGCATGAGAATCAAAAGTGTGTTGTTCTCCTCAGAAGTCGCCTCTAAAATATCAAAGTTGTTCTATTTGATGTTTAAAATATTGATTTCTTAATTATGGGCTCAAAAAATAGAGTTTATCTTATACATGGGGGTGTCTTGTACATGGAAAAATATGGTATATGGTATTAAAGATGGAGATAGTTGCATAACAATAAAATGATCAACTTTTCCTAGAATCCTACAAGAGTACAATGTGTTGCCTTGGCTCCAAATTGTAAGATCTCATTTCGATTGAGCATCTGTGGGATGTGCTGAAACAACAAATTCAATAGATGGAGGTATCATCTTGGAACTTGCAGGACATATGGGGACACTTTGAAAAAGTTTGTTATTTGATAAAACTCAAGTGTATTTTTCAAAATGTACTTGTATCAGTAATAAAAAGAGTAAACTTTTTATATTCTTTGGACCTTCCTGATTATTTTTAGAAAATGTTATCGTGAGTGCTACTGCGATATCCTTGGTGGGGATTACACCACCTATGCCAGTTGGATTGAGCAAAACCAACTTTTGCTTTCCGTTTGTGAGTACCTCATCTTTTAGTTTATTCTAATACTGTTTTTATCTGTGAGCACTATTGGCTGTTTCTATTCTTCTATAAAACATCCACATAGGTGATCTGCTGTCATCCATGCTGGGATTCTTACACATTCCCTCTGGATCCTGAAACACCTCCTGTCAAGGCTTTACTGCACCAGAATATCCATGGGTGGGATCGTACCGCCCAGGCGCTACTACCTGGAGCTGATTAGAAGCCTCAATAAATTGCAAGTGTGCTTCTATGTTTTTTTTCACCAACTATAAGAACATACTACACTATATTGTGTTTCCTGTCCTCTTATACTGACTATTAGTTGGACCAGAGAATATCCACAAGGCACTGTGATCCTTTTATCATCTTAAGACATAAATGATTTGCTGCTAATGTCTTTGTGCCAGAAACACAGGAAACTTTCATAGGTTTTATGGAGTCCATACCTCGATGCATCAGAGCTGTTTTCTCAGCACAAGGGGGACATACATGATTTTAATATTGTGGCTGATTATTATTTTTTTTGGAGGGTGGGGGGCAGGTGGCATTTCCTGTGTCCTCTTTCTATTTTAAAAAAAAAAAACACATTTAAAATTTTCCTGAAACTTAGTTATAATCCAGCAATGAGACACACTCACTCAGCAACCCAATCTGTTTATGGAGAGATTATCAATCTTGACAATCTCTGTCTAATTCAATATTTCTCATACAGAAGAATTTCCCCGTGCTCTGCAAATTCAAAGCTTTTTACAATGTTGATTCTAGTGCTTCTCTATAACAAGCATTAGTCAAATCACATTGTGTGTTATCATGCTAAACGTGAATCCTTCAAAAATAAAAGAGCTAATAGAGGAAGCAACTTTAGCACTTATCTGATTGACAGCCTGTGGATGCGTGTTTTCAGCCATCATGGCCTTTTCTTTAAAAAAGAGTATATTTTACATTGTCAGGTAAAAGGGGGGGGGATCTATGCACCAAAACCACCACATTACGATGTAGTGGTTTTGGTGCTTTGCATGTCCCTTTAAATAGATCTATATATTTAATTTATTTACTACTCTGTTGCACAATATTATGCATCAGTCTGTATTTTACCCCCTGCCCTGCAGTACCATATCATGAATCAGAACAAAAACCATGAAACACTATTTACACTTATGGAACAAAGGTTCCATTTTCAGGATTGTAGATTCCTCAAATCACTGCAGAACAGGGGCGGACTGACCACTCGGGCATATCGGTCATGGACCGAGGGCCCGAGGCAGTCAGGGGCCCGGCAGCACAGCCTTGCTCCAGCTGGAGAGATCAGAGATCTCTCCAACTGGAACGGCAAAATTAAAAAAAATAAAACTATTTCATTTATAGGTTGTGGGGCCCCTGATGCAGCACGGGGCCCCACAACCTACCGCCCTGTAAATCACCCCCTATGAGACCTGGCAGCTTCAGCAGCTCTCTGCCAGGTCTCCTTCTCCCAGTCCCGCGGTGCTCTGTGTGATGGGAGAGGGACAGGAAGTGACATCACTTCCTGTTTACTCCTCTCACACAGAGCCCAGCGAGGGGAAGGAGCAGCAGCCAGGGAGAGCAGAGGAAGCACAGGTAGGCTCTAATCACCCCCCTCCCCCGTCCTAATCACCCCCCTGTCACTAGTCACCCCACTTTCCTGGTCACCCCTGTCACTAGTCACCCCCTGTCACTAGTCACCCCCTGTCTTTAGTCACCCCCTGTCACTAGTCACAATATAGTCACCCCCCACTGTTACTAGTCACCCCCCTGTCACTAGTCATCCCCGCTGTACTAGTCACCCCCCTGCTAGTCACCCCCACTGTTACTAGTCACCCTGTCACTGATGTCCCCCCACTGTTACTAGTACCCCCTGTCACTAGTCACCCCTGTCACTAGTCATCCCCCCTGTCACTAGTCACCCCTGTCACTAGTCACCCCTGTTACACTAGTCACCCACAATCACTAGTCACCCCCCCACTGTTACTAGTCACCCCCTGTCACTAGTCACCCCTGTCGCTAGTCACCCCCCACTGTTACTAGTCACCCCCCCACTGTTACTAGTCACCCCCACTGTCACTAGTCACCCCTGTCACTAGTCACCCCCCACTGTTGCCTAGTCACTTACCTGTTACTAGTCACCCCCCTGTCACTAGTCACCCCCCCACTGTTACTAGTCACCCCCCCACCGTCACTAGTCACCCCCCTGTCACTAGTCACCCCCGCACTGTTACTAGTCACCTCCCTGTCACTAGTCACCCCCCACTGTTACTAGTCACCCCCGTCACTAGTCACCCCCCCACTGTTACTAGTCACCCCCCCACCGTCACTAGTCACCCCCCTGTCACTAGTCACCCCCTCCCTCACTCTGTCACTAGTCACCCCCTCCCTCACTCTGTCACTAGTCACCCCTTCCCTCACTCTAGTGACAGAGTGAGGGAGGGGGTTACTAGTGACAGAGGGAGGGGTGACTAGGGACAGAGTGAGGGAGGTGGTGACTAGGGACAGAGTGAGGGAGGTGGTGACTAGTGACAGTCACCACCTCCCTCACTCTGTCACTAGTCACCACCTCCCTCACTCTGTCACCAGTCCTCCCCTCACTCTGTCACTAGTCACGCCTTCCTTCCCTCACTCTGCCACTAGTCACCCCATCACTCTAGTGACAGAGTGAGGGAGGGTGTGACTAGTGACAGTTAGGCAGGGAAGGGGTGACTAGTGACAGAGGGAGGGGTGACTAGGGACAGAGTGAGGAAGGTGGTGACTAGTGACAGTCACCACCTCCCTCACTCTGTCACTAGTCACCACCTCCCTCCGTCACTGTGTCACCCCCTCCCTCACTCTGTCACCAGTCATCCCCTTACTCTGTCACTAGTCACCCCTCCCTCACTCTGCCACTAGTCACCCCTTCCCTCACTCCCTCACTCTGTCACCTGTCACCCCCTCACTCTGTCACTAGTCACCCCCTCACTCTAGTGACAGAGAGAGGGAGGGTGTGACTAGTGACAGTGAGTAAGGGTGTGACTAGTGACAGTGAGTAAGGGTGTGACTAGTGACAGAGAGAGGGAGGGTGTGACTAGTGAGAGTGAGGGAGGTGGTGATTAGTGACAGAGGGAGGAATGGGGTGACTATCACTGTGTCACCCCCTTCCTCACTCTGTTACTAGTCACCCACTCCCTCCCTCACTCGGTCACTAGTCACCCCCTCTCTCACTCTGTCACCAGTCATTCCCTCACTCTGTCACCAGTCATCCCTTCCTTCCCTCACTCTGCCACTAGTCATCCCTTCCCTCACTCTGTCACCAGTCATCCCCTCACTCTATCACCAGTCACCCCTTCCTTCCTTCACAGTGACAGAGTTAGGGAGGGAGTGACTAGTGACAGTGAGAGGGATGGGGTGACTAGTGACAGAGTGTGGAAGAGGGTGACTAGGGACAGAGGGGGTGATTAATGACAGAGTGAGGGAGGGGGTGACTAGTGACAGTGAGGGAGCGGGTGACAGTGACAGAGTTAGGGAGGGAGTGACTAGTGACAGTCACTCCCTCCCTCTGTCACTAGTCACCCCCTCTCCCTCCCTATGTCACTAGTCACCCCCACTTACTGTGTTTCCCCCTCACTCTGCCACCACTCAACCCCTCCCTCCCTCACTCTGCCACCAGGTACCCCCTCACTCTGCCACCTGTCACAACCTCCCACACTCTTCCACCTGTCACCTTCTCCCTCACACACTGTCACCTGTCACATATGCATTCACACAGACACTATATACAAAAAAGCACATGTAGTCATCCCGACATGCACAAGTGCATTCACACAGACTCAAATACAAACATGCATTGATACACAGGTCTTCACAATATACACATCCAAAGGAATGCTGTATTATGAGTTATATTTAACATTTATTTAATGCACATATATTTGGCCTTCAAAGGGCCTGGGATCTAATTTTGCCCGGGGGCCCCAAAGGCTCTCAGTCCGCCCCTGCTGCAGAACGCAGATATTGCGATTGCATGTGGGCATAATATCTACCTCCAGGAAGTATATATGCTGGGCAAAAACAGTCATATATTTTTTAAAGAGCCCTGCAACCTGAGGATCTTCTATTGCCACGGAGGCTAGGTAACTATATGCCAGGACTACAGGCATTGTGGTGTCTGAACATGGTATGCATTGCATATCATAACACTTGGAGTAAGAGGTTGATTTTAAAATGTATTTGCAAATTGTTACATGTTATTAAACCACTTTAATAATATACATATAGCTTTTTTCCTGTAAATCCTATAAGTCTTAATTACAACACACTCACAACAAGTGACGTGGAGATCAGGAATAGTACATTCAGCATGTGCCTTGCGTATCTTGTTCACCAATAATTGACACCAAGTATAGAAAGCAGATCTCCTCCAAGGATTTCCTTTGTCGGAAACAAGTAAATCCCCCTTTCTTTACAAACTGGCAAGTTTAAAAGTCAGTTGAAAGGCTACCAGGCAAAAATAAGATATCTCAAGAGAAGCCAAGCAGTCAAAACTGCGTGGGTTGAAACAGAGAAGAAAACATTTTAAACCCTTTATGAATATTTATCCTGTTGTTGCCGTTCATGACAGCACAAAGCTCAAAGGCTCAAGCTGTTGAGATCTCAAACATAAGCCATGTTCTAATCATGACACACAAGCGATTAACCCATCCACTGGTTGAATTGTGAGCATTATATAGCACTGTACCATTTCTGAAACTCGATAGTTGTACACGTGAAACTTAAGTGCACACAAACATAGGCTTTTCATTAAAGATAGCAGGATATGTTTTGCATCGCGCAGTAAAATAAAAAACCTATAACATTTCACGGCAGTTAATGTTTTTCTCTTCTTACTACAAACTGCAGGAGAACAATTAGACACAAGGACACATAGCGCAACAAAGTAATGGGATTTATTTTTTTTACATATATTAGTCTTTGGTCTGTGCTCCAATACGCTTTAGTTCATGATTAATGGATTTTGAATAACACTTTAGAAAACAATGTGAAGCAATTGAATTTAACTTTTTCATCTAAAAACAACTTTAAATTGCTGAAAATATCACTGAGCACATTTTACAATATTTGTTAAAATGATTTATAGACTTGTGCAGGGCAAAAAAAATAAAAATGTTTCGGATGAAAAGAGAAAAATATAGAAAATAGAAAATAAAGCTCAGGACGCCCACATTTTAGCCACAAGTTAATTTAGCTAATCTGATTTTCATTAAGGAAAAAAGAATGGGATAATAAATCAGATGATCCAAAAGGGTGAGGAAATAGGCTAATCAGTGTACTGCAAACAATATACTCATTTATATCATAATATTTATAATTGTCTTGCAATTAACAGATCAAGTGAGAAAAAGTTAAAATGGAGCAGTAAAAAACTCTATATTTCAATATTTATATTTTATATTTTTATTTAATAAATAATATATAAATATAGATTTGTTTTACTAATCCTCCTTTTATTTCTCTATTGGTAACTTCTCAATGGACCTTTTAATAAAATCAACTTCTAGTAACGGTCCCCTATTTATTCATCACATTTTTTCCCATTAATTATCTCTTTCGTTTTTTGGCATCACAGCCAGAATTCCAAATAGGGAATCGAAACAAACAGACGTTTGTCTATTACGTGATTCTTTTGGTTTGTGATTTCAGCAAGGAGTTAGAGAATCTGCATGATCACCCGATGGTCCCAAATTTGGACTAACTGCAACTCATGATGAAAAGAATCTCCAAGTCTAATGATGATGAATGATGTCAAATAATATTTACATTAGGTGCAGGTACCACCAACCAGACCTGGGAATACTGGACTCCTATAAGCCCATTAGATATAGTTGCCAAATAGTCTAATGGCTGGGGTCATGAGATCTTTACCCAGTACAGAGCAGAAGATAAACACCCCAAAAGCAAGGTAACATCTGATTGAAAAATGAAGACTTGATCAATGAGACTTTAGAGGTATGATTTATACAGAAAAAATGGCTTTATTAAGCAAAAGTTGTTTTTGTGACTATAGCGTCCCTTTAAGGTAAGGTAATCTCTTTAGTGCCTGAAATTGGTATCTAAATTTTAAGTTAGACAAAATTAAGTTGATTTATATTTATATAGCACTAGCAGATCTCCTTAGCACTTCAAAGGGACACTACAGTCACTAGAACAACTACAGCTTAATGTACTTGTTCTGGTGTGTATAGTATTTCCTGCAGGCCTTTTAATGTAAACACTGCTTTTTCAGAGCAAAGACAGTGTTTACATTAATGTCTAGGAACATCTCTAGTGGGTGTTACTCCCAATGCTATCCTATGGGAAAGCATTGGACTGGCTGAGATCGTCAAATTTGATCATCTCAACCGAGGAGGCAGAGAGGGAGTAGGGCTAGTCACGACTGGACCAGCATGACGCTAGAAAAAAGGTGAGTTTTACACCTTTTACTTTGCTGGACAGGGGGGCCAAGGGGCTAAATAGTAATATTGTATCCATAGTGTCTGTTCAGAATACGCGTTTGTGTTTCAATAGAGTTCCTTTAAATGTTGTATTATCGTAGAAGGAGTTACAAAGTATGGAATGGATTTAACAATGTAAATATTGTGCACATGGATACATTAGGATGGCGGTTGCTAACCTATACAGTTTACAATAATTTTTTTTTTTTTTTTCAGGGCTAAAATGAGGTTATAACAATCCCCTCTAACTAGTTGCATGTTGTTGATACACTCAAAGACAAGATACATAGTTACTAATGTTTGTGTGGAACCTTTTTTTTTTTTTTTTAAATATAATTTTGTAGTAATTATAACATATACCGCTCATTACACAGTCTTTTAAAAGTATCTCCTGAAGGCTTTCCAATCATTACTTCTAAACTTGCAGCTGCAATGTTCATCACTATCTTAATTAATTCTCTCTAAACCATCATATTGTTAGCACAGCCAACACAGAGAAAATATATTGGCCCTCCATGATTCTCACACAAAAATAACTTTCAACATAAAATAAATACTTGCAGATTTTTTTTTCACAATTCAGCCATGCTCAAGCAATCAGTAGGATAAGCTGTCAAGTTTGGATCCACTTAGCTGAACAGCTGAAATCCTTGGGATCACAGCAAGTTGACAGTTCTGTCATCAAAACACACACTATACATGGGAGAGCAAGTTTTGTCAGCTGGCCTGATACACAGGTAATTGTATGATATCGATTAATTCTCAAGTCGCCTATCTACTTTATGTCTGGTCTGCTACAGAAAAAAAAACAATGCCAAATCATTGATTTCAATTAAAATGTTTAATACAATATATTTATTACATTTCATATAATAATGACTGATTTTATTGAATATTTTTATTTAATATATTTATTACTAATAAGCAATGTATGCACAGATCATTTAGTAAGAGTGGGCACCCCAGGTTATTATTTATGCATTTGTTTGTTTAAAAATGTAAACAGCTATTAAAAATGAGGCGCAGTGGATATTTAATTGGTAAATAAATAAATAAAAATGTAATGTATTCTTAAATTTTACACTTTTATTTGTATTTTTTCCACTAATGTAAGTCTAATAAATGTAACACAAAATACCAAATTGTTCTCTAGTGAGAACCTACTGTATTTACTGTCAGTTGTCACGATTTGTTTCTTGAAAGGATCAGTTCAAGTACTGAAATAATAAAATTGTTCCCGCTACAGACAGCCCATCAGGGCCGTCAATCAGACAGTCCAAAGTACTTCCTTACATGATGCTTTCCCAGTGAGAGAGAATTAGCTATTGTGTACAAACAGGGAGAAAGCTCAGAGATGTGGACTGCACACACATGGTCTTTAGAAGTGTGAACCGGCCATGCATAAATTGATATAATTCGCAGTATGGCTGTGCATAGTTAAAAGAGCAATTTAAATCACCCTATGTTCTGAAAAGGGAATTTTTGGATAATACTGTCCCTATAGATCAAAAAGAGACACTCCTGATTGGAGGTCTTATCCTTGTGTGCCTGCAGCTGAAGACAAAGTTCCTAAAGAGTGCTAGAAAATGACAATTTAACAGGTATTTGTAATCAACATTTTTTACCTATATTTAATTTTATGGAGTATCTATTGTGACGGAGCTCCAGTACTCCGACCTCGTAGCTATTAGTGACCCTGGATCACTTCAGACCCAGTTGCTGAGGCTTGACTGGGATCACTGAAGGCCTTTTCCACCCTGGACCAGGCTTCTTTGTTTATAGCCCTGGACAAACTTTCCATCAGCAGATTATATCCCTTTCCCCAAACACCAGATGACACTTGGTGAAGGTTAAAAACAGCAACTAACTTTAATAGACATAGCACACATATGTTAAGCCCCCAACAGCCTCACTTACATACAATAGGTTGATAAGAGCACTATAGTACAAGGAAGGGTGGGGTCAGACAATAGCAATATTTATATATATATATATATATATATATATTCAACATGGGCTTGGCACTCACATTCCTGTCCTGTTCTTGCCTCAATGCTATTTCGTGCCCCAATACAACATCCCAGAAAAATGCACTCAGAGGGCTTGTAGTCTTGTGCAATATATCTTTTATAACCTTGTGCAAAGGTACAGTCAATGTTTCAGTCCGACTAAAGGATATATTGCACAAGACTACAAGCCCTCTGAGTGCATTTCTCTGGGATGATATATATATATATATATATATATATGAGAACAGTTGAGCTGTTCATTAAATATG